CTAAGAATAAAGGACAGTTTCTTTATATTGAATACATTAAACTTTATGAAAAATTCAGTGCATTGTTTCTTTTTTTGTCATTCTTGCTGCAGGTCAGTGGAAACTCATAGATCCATGGACAGGCATTTGGGAACCCATCAATTAAAGATATCTTGGGTCTCTTTGGTCTCCCAGAGTCTTTTAAATAATTGACATTTTTTTTACTCCTGTTTTTTGGTATCATAGCTTCATATCTTCCTGCAGTTTGAAAATTAACCTTAGGCCACACCTTCACCACCAAGGATTATGTGGGTAGGGACAATGATTGGAACGGCTTTTCCCAGAGGCACACCTGAATTATGTAATAGGAGTGGGAGTGAGCATTGTTGGAATTACCTGGAGTTCCCAAACCAGCAGGAGAGCACAGGTCTCCGGAAAACAGCTAAGGCCTCTGCACACATAGCAAGGTGGAAAAGGTGAAAATTGTTTAGATAAACAATTATTCCAAACTCTCACCGGAAATAACTACGATATATTTATTTTCTTGAAGTCTAAATTAAAGTCTCCTTAGTTTTTCTGTAGAAACAGCCATTTTATTTTTTGAGACTTTATTTTTTATTTTATTTTATTTCATTTTATTTGCTCTGTCACCTAGGGTGGAGAGCAATGGCATGATCACAGCTCACTGCGGCCTTGCCCTCCCAGGCCTAAGTGATCCTCCCACCTCAGCCTCCCAAGTAGCTGGGACTGCATGTGAAGACCACCATGCTTGGCAGGTTTTTTGTTTTGTTTTGTTTTGTTTTTAAGAGATGAGGTCTCAGCATATTGCCCAGGCTAGTATCGAACTCCTGGAATCAAGCAGTTATCCCAGTTGTCTTCCCACAGTGTTGTGATTATAGCACCCAACCAGAAACAGCCATTTTAAACCAAACTTTATTTTTTAGGTGTCTTCCCAAATAATATTATCCTCAAGAACCCTACTGATAAATTTAGGGAGCAGTTACAAATTTCCCTCTTCATTTCATTCTGAGCTGAGTCATTGATTCAGGATTGGCCTAGAGCAGTCCAAAAGAAATTTTTTTTTTTTCTGAATATCTCCTTAACCAGGCCTTAATCAGAATTTATGTAATGTACTTGGTGAAAAATCAAGACTTAATGAGGTATCTCTTTATATAGCAGATTAACAGTGTTTAAAATGTTGGTTACTTTAGGAGCTTATAGGCAACTGAATTCATATTTACTAAGTAACCAAGGGATTGGTGGGGAGGTGGTACCTTTGGCTGATGGCCTGAGGGCAGCCCTTTATTCTTTGTGTGCGGTGATCAATTTGTCTAGGACAAGGTGGCAGTAACCACATTCCCTTTACAGCTAAGGGAAGAAGTACCCTCCTCCACGGAAGGAGCTTATTTGCCTCTTTGTTTTTCCCTGGGGATGGATATAGACATGAAATAAACATCTTCCTCTTCTGAAGTGAAGATGGTTCTAGCAGTGCTGTATTTCTTTAAAATAGGGTTTGCCATAAGAATCATTATTACTTCATTCATTAATTGTTTGTTTGTTTTCTTTTTTTGGAGCCAGGGTCTGGCCTCTGTTGCCCAGGCTGGAGTGCAGTGGCATGATCATGGCCCTCTGTAACCTCGACCTGCTTGGCTTAAGGAATCCTCCCATCTCAGCAGGAACTACAGGCACGTACCAACATGCCTGGCTAATTTTTAAAAATTTTTTTGTAGAGATGAGGTCTCACTAGATTGCCCAGGCTGGTTTCAAACTCCTGAGCTCAAGGGATCCACCCGCCTTATCCTCCCAAAGTGCTAGAGCTACAGGCTCCAGCCACCACACCCAGCTCGTTCATTCAATTTTGATTAGGTCCTTACCATTTAGAAAAGATACTTTAAAAATCCACCTAAGGGAAGTGGGTTTTCAAGTATGCAAAGCATCACAGAATCTAAGTCAGTAGAGGCTGCCAATTTAGGGTTGCCAGATAAAATTCAGGACTGCTGGTTAAGTTTGAATTTCAGATAAATAACAAGTTACTTTTTACTATTTGTACCAAATATTACTGGGGAACATACTTATTTGGGACATAGTTTAAAAAAAATTCTTGTTTGAATGACTTTCCAATTTAACTAGTTTTCTGTGTTTTTATTTGCTAAATCTGGCTACCAATAATAATGTTAACACAGTACCTGCTTATCTTAGACATTCTAGCTTGTTGATCAGGAGTATGGGCTTGGGATCCAGACTGCCTGAGTTAGAATCATAGCTCTGCCACTTATAGTTTGTGACCTTAAGCAACTTTTAAAATTTCTCCATGCCTCAGTTTCCCTGTACAGGTTGAGTATCCTTAATCTGAAAATTCCAAATTTGAAATGCTGCAGAGTTTGAAATGTTTTGATAATCGACACGATGCTCATCAGAGCATTTCGATTTTGGGTTTTTGGGTTAGGGATGCTGAACTGATGGTGAGTGTAATGCAAATGTTCCAAAATATGAAAAAATGCAAAATCTGTAAAAAGCATTTTGGATAAGGGATAGTCAACCTGAAGTAAAATAGGGTTGTTAGTTGGTGCTAAGATGTAAATGTATATGTGTTTAATTAATTTTATCACCCCTTATTGAGTCTTGGCTACAGCATCATGGACGTCTTACCTGCTTGATAATTTTAACAGTACATATATGTGTCCTAAATTTTACCTCAAAGAAGGCAGGCTACTAATCTATCATTGGCCTCATTCTGACTTTGGCAATTGGGAATACATTTTCCATGGCCCTGCTTCCATTAACTCTTCTAATTTTCAGTGATGGCTCACTGTATCATTAGTATTTTCTCTTAGCACTATGGCCTGCTCTTAGACCAGAACTGGGTGCCGCTGGAGTGGTCTTAAAACCACCTCATCTTCCCTAATAGCAATTCATGTTCAGCCTCTTCAAATCTGAAGATCTTTCTGGTCACTGACAAAGAGAAGTAAAATCACAATCATGTCATCCTGCATGCTCACCTTGGTATATGCACAATAACTTAAAATCTTATCTTTAAAAAAATTATATGATTATATGATCCATCTCACATTGATTTGTATTCAATAATAATAATAACCCTGTGTCTAATAGAAACTAACAAACCATTGCCTCTAAAACAGCGCCTGGCATGTTAAACCACACTTGAAATATGCGTCATGATTTCAGATATTAACAGGATAAAACATGTGCCTTAGGCGATGTTAATTAAGGAAAAGCCACTACTACGTGCTATATTCAGACACAGTGCTGAGCATTTTATAATTATTTAAGTATAGTGAGACTATCAAGTAGGTCCTATTTTATCTCCATCAGCACCAGCCAATCTGACTGAACACCTGGGCTGGTTTTCATGGTACACAGGTCTTAATATGTAAATAGAAAAATGTCCCCCTGTGGGAGGAAATCTCATCGTTTTAAGTCTTTATCTAAAACTAGATATTTGTAAATAACTTTCTGTTTAACAATTTATTTGTAAAACTTCTAAACACCTTGAAATCGATCATTGAAAGAAACAGTTTTGAATGTCTGTGTGTGTGTTTGTTGTTGTGATTTTTCCATGAAGTCAAGAAGTTATATCTATTCTGTTTATTTTGTTCACTGTCATATCCCGAGCATCTAAAACAGTGCCTGGCATGTTAAGTAAGCACCCAATTCAAATTAGTTGATTGTTGAATGAATAAATGGAAATTTTTTTTTCATGTGATCATAAGACTTCATTTATTTTGGCATATTAAAATGTGTTGTGTAAAATTTTTAAGGCCCAGCATAAACATAGCCTCTCTGAGAAGCCTTCTTGGATTCCCCAAGCAGAAATAATACCTTCTTTCCCTAAACCTGATGTAGGTGGGTTTATAATTTTCTTCTCTGAAAACTACCTTATTTATGATTATTACTATTATTTTGAGACAACCTCTCTCTCTGTCACCCAGGCTGGAATGCAGTGATGTGATCTTGGCTTGCTGTAACCTCTAATCTGGGCTCACTGCAGCCTCTGCCTCCTGGCCTCAAGTAATCCTCCTGCCTCAGCCTCCCAAGTAGCTGGGACTATAGGCACACACCCCCATGCCTGGCTAATTTTTTTGATTTTTTTTTTTTTTTTAAGAGATAGAGTTTCGCTATGTTGCCCAGGCTGGCCTCAAACTCCTGGCCTAAAGCAGTCCACCCCTTTGACCTTCTAATATGCTGGGAGTACAGGCATGAGCCGCCTTTTAAATCCTCTAAGCTTCTGGAGAACAGAGCTGTTAGTTCATCTTGTATCCCTATATTTGTTAAATAAGTAGATGATTTTTTTTTTCGGGGGACAGAGTCTCACTGTGTCGCCCAGGCTGGAGTGCAATGACACGATCTTGGCTCACTGCAACCTCTGCCTCCTGGGTTCATGCAATTCTCCTGCCTCAGCCTCCTGAGTAGAGCAGCAGGGACTACAGGCTTGTGCCACCACACTCGGCTAATTTTTGTATTTTTAGTAGAGATGGGGTTTCACCATGTTGGCCAGGCTGATCTCCAGCTCCTGACCTCAAATGATCTGCCCACCTCAGCCTCCCAAAGTGCTGGGATTACAGGCATGAGCCACCGTGCCCGGCCGATGAATGTGTTTTTAGTGTACCTAACAGATACGAAAGTTCAAAGGAAAAAATGCATATAATTTGAGGGGAGGACTGGTAAATGGTTTTTTCACTCCTTGGCCATTTTTGCTTTGTTTTCTTTTCTCCTTGCTGCACATGTCGCCGATCTTGAAAGAATGTGCTTTAATTTATTTAACATAATGATTTCATTTTGTAGCACCTTGGTAATTAAATTTATTACTCTTCCTTAGGAGGAACAAAGCCTGTGCTAGTTGCATGATTGCTTTTGTCTTTATTTGTAATCTTTTAGAAAGCAAGCACACAACCTTTCCACTTGGACAGTCATTACCAATTCTTGATAACATCTGGTTACTTAATTTGAAAAATGTGTAGCTATGAACATTAATGATGGACCTTAACCGAGTTTAAATTCAGACATACATAGGATCTGTATTAATCTCAGTCAACCCTTTCAAGCAGATGCCATATTTTGGGGAAAAGGAAATTGAAATGTACCAAGGAGCGGTAAGTTACATGTCACATAAATTGCTGCCTTATTTTGGGCTTTTATGATGCAGACATGGTTTTTCTTGAAGTTAGCAGTACTTTGCACTTTTCTGTTATGAACTTTTTAATTGGAGAAACTTAAGTGACTTTTTTTTATTTTTAATGATCTTTTTATTTTTTAATTTTTGTTATTTTATTTTTATTTTATTTTTTTATTTTTTTGAGACAGAATTTTGCTCTTGTTGCCCAGGCTGGACTGCAATGGCATGATCTCAGCTCACTGCAACCTCCACCTTCTGGGTTCAAACAACTCTCCTGCCTCAGCCTCCCGAGTAGCTGAGATTACAGGCACACGCCACCACACCCGGCTAATTTTGTATTTTTAGTAGAGATGGGGTTTCACCATGTTGGTCAAGCTAGTCTTGAACTCCTGACCTCAGGTGATCTACCTGCCTCAGGCTCCCAAAGTGCTGGGATTACAGGCGTGAGCCACTGCGTCCGGCCAATGATCTGCTTTTTAGAGCACAGCTCAAAAAACCTTAGGACTGTCATTATTTGAGCCTTATTTACGTAGAAAATTAATTAAATGGGATGTAGGACTTACAGCTCAGGGATCTTCCTGCTTCCACATATGCCACAGAAATCTAAGGAATAAAAATTAGTTATGGGTAAAAAATAGAGCAATGGGTACTGATTTGCAGAATCAGAACCATTGTTAAACTATGACTATGACTTGAACATGAAAAATGAATCTTGTATTCATTTTTGTCTTCAATCTTGTATTACTTCATTTATTAATTTGACCCTGGTTCCTATTCATAATCAGCTCCATAGCCTTTCAGTTGTATAGTAAAACTGGAAGCTGTAATTCTCCTTAATATATTTTATTCTGTGATTCATCACTTCCCGAGGCCTCCCCATCTCTGCATCTTTTTCCTTTCCTTTTCCTTCCCTCTTTGCAGCAGAAGCACAAGAGCATTCATTAATCCTGACCCCTAAAAAGCAAACAAAAGAGAGCCCACACAAATTCATCAGTTGAAGTGGAAGGCAATTTACCCAGAGCAAGAGCCCACCCCATTGTTGCCAGATGAATGGTGCCGGTAGCTGGAGCCGAAGGAGGCTGCCACGCGAAAGACCTTTGATAATGCTGCCTTTATGGGAGCCCAGCACAAGGGAAACACTGTCAGCAGAGGCTGGCCCTGCCCTAGTACCCCGATCAGCAGGCACACAGAGCTGGCTTGGCATCCTCGATGACAGCCAAGGCACTGTAGATGGAAGTGCCGTGCATGTGTGTTTCTCTAGTTTTCTGAAAAGGGTTGCTGTATGCACGTCCCTTTTAGACCATTTATCTTTTGAAGTGTTCTCTTTTAAGGAAATGTAGAATTTCTTAAAAATATGCTTAATTTTACTGCTAATGGTAACAGATGATTGTAAAACTGGTATTTACTGAGTGCCGTGTACTATGTTATACTTGCAGCAATAATAAAACAGCCCTGGTTGCTGGCTTTGTCATACCACCTATCTCCATTTCACAGATGAGGAAACTGAAGGTTAGAGAGGTGAAGTACTAAAATCTACTGAGTGGTGGAGCTAGGAGTTGAAGTCAGGTCCTAATGACTTTGAGAGTCTCAGGGGAGGGAAGAATCAGGTAAAGGAAATGCCCACTGTATAGTTTTCTCACAGATAGCTGAGAGGTTCTATAAGACCACAGATAGGAAACCAGTTTGGAAAATACAGGGTGACATGCAAAGGTCAAGTATGACAGTTCTGCAGCATTGAAACCTTACTGGGCAGTGACTTTCCCCCGTTGCCCATGGCTTTCTTTCCACTCCATTTCCTTCCATTTTCCATCTTCTTGTCTTTCTTACAGTCCTCTACTTTCTCATTTCAAAGAGTCATTAAAGATTGTGCACTTGAGACCAGAAACCCAAAATGATGGTAACTGAGAGGGGTACTAAGGCCTAAGTTTTGGTGACACTCTCACCTAAGTGAGAACCTGACCTAAAGAGGGGAATTTTTAAACAAAATTATGAGATTCCATTGTTTTGGACTGATCTCATGCACTAGCATTTGGTCTGGTCCGACAGACCAGACCAAACGAACATGGAGTCACTCATGTTACATGTGATGTAATCGAAACTTTAAAGAAACAGACCAGGAGATGCCAGCAGGGAGGAGGTCCCCTCTACTCTAACCCTTACAGAAAGTAACCTAAAATCTTTGTTCCCATCTTACAAACCCCACTGTTCTGCTATTTCTCAATGATATTTGAGAGCAAGTAAGTACATTTTTACAGTGGTGACAGAGTGACATCAGTGCCTAAAGTTTTGGTATTTCAAAATTGAGAGGATGACCAAAAGAGGGAAATTGGACTGGGCGTGGTGGCTCACGCCTATAATCCCAGCAAATTGGGAGGCCAAGATGGGAGGATCGCTTGAGTCCAGGAGTTCAAGACCAGCCTGGGCAACATCGTGAGACCCCGCCTCTATTTAAAAACATAAACAAAAAAACCAAGAGAGGGGAATTGTTAAATTAAGTTTAGCCTAAAGCTGCTTCCTTGCATATTTTAAGTTCGGGCTAAATGTTTTTTTTCTTTTTTTTCTTTTTTCTTTTGAAACAAGGTCTCACTCTGTCACCCATGCTGAAGCGCAGTGCTGTGATCTTGGCTCACAGCAACCTCCACCTCCAGGACTCAAGTGATCCCCCCACCTCAGCTTCCCAAGCGAATAGCTGGGACTACAGGCGCACACCACCATGTCCAGCTACTTTTGTTTCTTTTTTGTAGAGAGGAGGTCTCACTATGTTCCCAGGTTGATCTGGAACTGCTGGATTCAAGTGATCCTCTGGTCTTGCCCCAGAAGTGCTGGGATTACAGACATGAGCCATCACACCCAGCCCTAAATGTTTCTCTGTACACAGTAAACTGTAGCCTAACCAGATGTGTAAACAAACTATAACCTACTCTTCTGCCAGTCACTGAGTTTTGGCCAATCAAAGGTGGCCAACAATTCAAACTGTGTTCAAATAAGGCAAACTCCAAACTAATCTGTAACTAATCTGGCTCTTTCTGTACCTCACTTCCATTTTCTATATATATATATTTATTTTTATTTTTTTTTAATTTTGTTTTGTTTTGAGATGGAGTCTCACTCTGTCACCAGGCTGGAGTGCAGTGGTGCAATCTCAGCTCACTGTAACCTCCACCTCCTGGGTTCAAGCAATTCTCCTGCCTCAGCCTCTTGAGTAGCTGGGATTACAGGCATGTGCCAGTACGCCTGGCTAATTTTTGTGTTTTTAGTAGATACGGGGTTTTGCCACATTGGCCAGACTGTTCTCGGACTCCTGACCTCAAGTGATCATCCCACCTCAGCATCCCAAAGAGATTACAGGCCTGAGCAAGGGCCGGCCCTCACTTCCATTTTCTGTATATCACTTTCCTTTTTCTGCCCAAAAATCTTACAGCATATGGCAGCGCTGGAGGCTCTCTGAACCTATTCTTGTTCCAGGGTGGCCTTGTTCACGAATCATTCTTTTCTCAATTAAACTCTGTTAAAGTAAAATAATAACTATAATAATCCTGTAGAATCCTAGTGTATACTAGAAGTCCATTTAAAACCATATCCAGATATCTGCTCCTGACCATAAGGTTAAGGCAGAGATCACATATTCTGGCTCCTGCATAGGGTTCTTTAGGTGATCAGTCCTAGGCATAGCTTGCAGCCCTCCCTGGGTAGTTCCCCTTATGAGCGCCCTGCCTACAACATGGAAAGAACACTGGGTATTGGATACAAAGCCCCCTCATCCTAACCCCTCCCCACCAAACTCTCATCTTCCAGAGCATGGCAGTGAGCAACAACTTCTCAGCCAGGCCCCCTTTTCTATAGTAAGTCACTGCACAATAAAATGGATTGAGTAAATTAATCCAAAGATGGATTAAGTAAATTAAGCTTCACCTTTGTATATCACTCTACCTTTCCAAATTGCTTTCCCATCCATCATTTATACTGTGAGACTTGCAGCTTGGATGCTATTATTCCCATAATTATAGCTCACTGCATCCTCCAGCTCCTGGACTCAAGCTATCCTCCCACCTCAGCCTCCCAAGTAGCTAGGACCGCAGGCATGTGCTCCCACACCCAGGTAATTAAAAATTTTTTCGTGTGTGGAGACTAGACTCCAAGTCCTGGTGTTAAATGACTCTTCTGCCTCAGCCTGCCAAGTAGCTCGGAGTGATCACAGGCTAGGAGTGTTCTTTCTCCATATATACCCAACAAAGTATTTCTCTTTTTAGTAATTTTTGAGGTTGTGGTGAAGGTGCATGTCAAGAAATTGAATAAAGCAGGGCTGAAGTCAGCCTGAGAATTTATTAAGCATGGAAAATGTATTTAGTTTGATATTTGTGCGTAGCTAAGATATCCCATAAGATGAAATCACAAACCCAGGAGAATATCTTAATGTGGTAGGATTTTTTTTTCCAATAGAGATGAAAGAAACTGGCCAAACTAGCTTATCCCTTTAAAGAACACACCTTCTTGCCCTCTTCTTATGGAAAGATTTAAGTATTTTTTTCTGATCCATAGATAATCTCACCTAATTCCTTCTGAGGCCCCAGAATCTACAACATGGCCTCTTCAAAAAAATTACATAGGAATTTAGAATTCTGGTAGAAGTCAGAGCTAAGTGTTGGGCAGGCCTCTCCTAAGACCTGTTGCCCGAGTGTCTGTAGAAACATTTAGAAATGGACTGTCACCTGCAGAGGCATGTATGGGTGGAAGGGTGGGGTGTTGGAGTGTCTGAAGACACTCCACATCCGGAAGGCTGAATCATGGATATGCCTACGGAAGACTCCTTCCAAATTCCGTCTTAATTTTGCGAGGGTGTACCTTGATGACCTAGGAAATTTTATGAATTCTTGTATCATGCAACCTTTAAGATGTAATTATAGGCGTTGGAACTATAGTGCACGATTCATTTCCAAATTCAGAAATAGAAATTTAATGTGTTGCCTATCTGACCATGATTTTGTTTTTCTTGTTTAATTTTATTATTTATGTATTATAATTTTTTGCTTTTCTAGGCACAGTATGAAAACCCACCACATATCTATGCCCTTGCGGATAGTATGTACAGAAACATGATCATTGACAGAGAGAACCAGTGCGTCATCATCAGGTATGAAAAGTATCCTTATCTGTGGCCATGGAAGATATGAGACTATGCTGTGGTTATGTATTTCGGTCGATAAGCAGTGGTTTTGCAACAGCTACTGATGTCACGGCCTGGTTAATGTGTCTGAGTAACAAGCAGGTTAGCTGCTTTATCTTGGTTTATTTATAACTCTATGTAATAGAGCTCCATACCATAAAACTTTTGAGCTCCCCTGGGGTTACAGTAAGTATAATAAACATATTTTCACTGTTTAGTCAGATGGAATCCTTTTCTCTAGGTCCCTATTTTTTCTTTGCCTTCATAATTTAGTAGTTCATGTTTGAACATTTTTGGTGAACTTTGTCATTTGCATTGAATTTGGGGGAAGATTACTGGTAATGGCCGGCATTAGGTGTCTGTAACCACCTTTCATAATCCCTCTAGCTTGACACACGGCTCTGAGTCCTGCCTGGTTTTAAGTCAAGTTTGTCCAACCTGCGGGCTGCAGGCCGTGGGCCACGTGCAGCCTAGGACAGCTTTCAGTGTGGACCAAAGCAATCATAAACTTTCTTAAAACGTTATGAGATTTTTTTGCAATTTTTTTTTTTAAGCTCTTCAGCTATCATTTGTCATAGTGTATTTTATGTGTGGCCCAAGACAATTCTTCTTCTTGCAATGTGGCCCAGGGAAGCCAAAAGATTGGATACCCCTGGCTTAAGTGCTTTTAAAATTCTGCTTACTTACAAAAATTAGCTGGGCATGGTGGCGCACGCCTCTAATCCCACATACCAGGGAGGCTGAGGCGGGAGAATCGCTTGAGCCTGGGATGAGGAAGTTGTACTGAGCTGAGATCGTGCCACTGCACTCCAGCCTGGATAACAGAGCAAGACTCCGTCTCAAAAAATAATAATAATAAAATAAATTCTGCTTACCAACTCCAGGTGGGGTGGCTCACACCTGTAAGCCCCAGAGTTTGAGACCAGCCTGGGCAACATGGCAAAACCCCATCTCTACAAAAAAGTACAAAAATTAGCCAGGCATCTGGTGTCATTTGTCTGTAGTCCCAGCTACTGGGGAGGCTGAGGGGAGAGGATCACTTGAGCCGGGGAAGTCAAGGCTACAGTGAGCTGAGATTGTGCCATTACATTCCAGCCTGGGTAACAGAGCAAGACCCTATCTCCAAAAAAAAAAAAGGAGGCTGATACCTGAGTGGAGGCTGAGACAGGCAGATCGCTTGAAGTTAGGAGTTCAAGACCAGCCTGGGCAACATGGGGAAACCCTGTCTCTACTAAAAATACAAAAATTAGCCAGGCATGGTGGCATATACCTGTAGTCCCAGATACTCAGGAGGCTGAGGCAGGAGAATCACTTGAACCAGGAGGTGGAAGCTGCAGTGAGCCAAGCTCATGCCACTGCAATCCAGCCTGGGCAACAGAGTGAGACTCCATCTGAAGAAAAAAAAAAAGCTCTGCTTAGTATTGTGAATATTTTCAAACACTAGAAAGTATAAGCATCCATATTCGCATCACCTAGAATTTGACAGTTCCCAATTTTATCATACATATTTGTGTTCATCTCTTTTAGTTAATTTTTCTGAGATATTTTTGAAAAAAAAATCTTTTATTATGGATAATTACAAATATACACAAAATGAGAAAGAATAGTAGAATGTGTCCCTGTATATCTGTTATCTGTTTTATACTGTTATCAGTATATGGCCAATTCTGTTTTATTTGGTCCTCCCATTCTGTCCCACTTGATTACTTAAAGCAAATCCGGTAGGGCATGGCAGTGGATTCATTTCCAAGGTCAAGAAAAGATTACATGTAATACTAGCACTATGGGAAGCCAGGGGGCAGGAGGATCACTTGAGGCCAGGAATTGGAGACCAGCCTGGACAACACAGCAAAGCCTGTCTCCATAAAAAAAATTTTTTTAATTAGCTGGGTGTGGTGGTGCACACCTGTAGTCCTAGCTACTAGGGAGGCTGAGGCAGGAAGATCACTTGAGCCCAGGAGTTTGAGGTTACAGTGAGCTATGCTTGAACCACTGCACTCCAGCCAGGCGACAGAGACCCTATCTTTTTTTAAAAAAAAAAAAAAAAAAGCAAACCCAAAGATCCCCTTTATTTGTCAATAATTAGTATGTGCCTCTAAGAAATCATTCTTATCACACCTTAAACATGAAGAATTCTTTTATAGTATGTAATATTATCAGTATTCCAATTCCGTTGTTTTCCTATAATTTCTTTTTTATAGTTAGTGTGTTTTTATTTAGGATCCAAACAAGGCCCATACACTGCACCTGATTGCTATGTCTCTTACGTCTCTCGGCTTTTAATAATTTTCCTTTCCCCTTTTTGTTTTCTTGGGTTTGTTAAAAAAAAAAAAAGTTGTTTGTCCTGTAGATTTTGCTATACAGTCTGGTATTGCCTAATTGTATCCTATGATGTTGCTTAAGTATTCCACTGTCCCCTATATTTTCTGTAAATTAATAGTTAGATATAAAAACATCAGAGGCCGGGTGCGGTGGCTCACAGCTGTAATCCCAGCGCTTTGGGAGGCTGAGGCGGGCAGATCACAAGGTCAGGAGATCGAGACCATCCTGGCCAACATGGTGAAACCCCATCTCTACTAAAATACAGAAAATTAGCTGAGCATGGCAGCATGTGCCTGTAGTCCCAGCTACTTGGGAGGCTGAGGCAGGGGAATCGCTTGAACCCAGGAGGCAGAGGTTTCAGTGAGCTGAGATTGCGCCACTGCACTCAAGCCTGGCGGCAGAGTGAGACTCTGTCTCAAAAACAAAACAAAACAAAAAAAACTTGATCAGACTCAGATTCCTTTTTTGGCAAAAGAGACTTCATCAGTGATGCTGTGCACTTCGTGCCTGTTGCTCTCTCTTCGTGTGTCCAGATTGTCATTGAACCCATCTGTCATAAATCATTGTTTAATTAGTGGTTGAAAAATCGTTGTTTTCTAATTCTGTTATTTTTCTGCATTTATTAGTTCTTTTGCTTGGTCACCTTCAAATAAAAACTATGTGGGAAATTTAGACAAAACCCTGGATTCATTGCTATTACTCACCTGTTTTCAAAACAATGAATTGTTGCCCTAGCAGTTTCCCAAGGTAATGTGTTTTATTTTCTGTATTATTCCAAACTAGTGGACTTTTAATATTGTACCTGTTTAACTACATTGCAGCTGTACTTTTCAAGGCTGGAATGATCCTATTGTTGAGCTGTGACAGTCTTTTATCTTAACTCTTATGTCCTTTGGACATGACCCCAGTAGGCTCTGTTAGTTTCCTTCTTTAAGACCTTCTAGCTCATCTTGTATATTTCCTATGTAGAATCCACTGTCTCTCTGGGGGCCTTGGTTCCTTTCTTTTCCTTTTCTTTTTGAGACCAAGTCTCATTCTGTCACCCAGGCTGGAGTGCAGTGGTGTGATCTCAGCTCACCACAACCTCCGCCTCCTGGGTTCAAGCAATTCTTCTGCCTCGGCCTCCTGAATGGCTGGGATTATAGGCATGCACCACCATGCCTGGCTAATTCTTTTGCTCTTTTTTTTTTTTTTCTGAGACAGAGTCTTGCTCTGTCACGCAGGCTGGAGCACAGTGGCGTGATCTTTCTTCATTGTAACCTCCGCCTCCCAGGTTCAAGCAATTCTCCTGCTTCAGCCTCCTTAGTAGCCGGGATTGTAGGTGTATGCCACCATACCCGGGTAATTTTTGTATTTTTTGTAGAGATGGGGTTTCCCCATGTTGGCCAGGCTGGTCTCAAAGTCCTGACCTCAGGTAATCCACCTGCCTTAGCCTCCCATATTGCTGGGATTATAGGCGTGAGCCACTGCGCCCAGCCTCTTGCATTTTTAGTAGAGACAGGGTTTTACCATGCTGGCCAGGCTGGTCTTGAACTGCTAACCTCAAGTGATCTGCACACCTCAGTTTCCCAAAGTGCTGGGATTACAGGCACGAGCCACTGCACCCCGCTGGGCCTTGTTCATTTTAATGGGAAATGGCGTTAAGAGACCACTAAACTGGGCACCAAGAGTGCTCGCTGCCCTGTGTTGTCAGTGCCTGCAGTTCTTTGAAAGGAAAAATCTAGGGAATATGAGCTTTTTAAGAGAAAAATGAAATTGGAAAATTGTTTTCAATTAATTTTTAAGATTTCAGAGTTTTTATCTCTTTGATTTTAATTTTTGTATCCCATTTCTCTTATGCTGAAAAATCTTAGTTCCTGATTACATTAGCAATTATTTGCATTGCATTGTATTTTAGACAGAATAAGTTTGTTAATGCTTTTAAAGTAACAATACCAATATTAGTAGCAATACTGAATTGATTTTAAAATTTTTTTGTTATTTTTTGTCCAAATACTCAATATTTACAGTCAAAATACTGGGTTTCATAAAAGTCACTTAAAATAATCCTTTTCTATGTCAACCTGACCTATAGTTGGGTTCATTTATTTCATTTTCAATTTTAGTTGTTTAGCATTTTTAAATGTAATTTTGTTTTTATAATTATGCAAAACATTTACATGGTTCCAAAGTCAATACTGTAAAACATGAGCACTGAAGCATTTCAAGGTAAATATATATCTGAAGTATTTGGAGGCAAATACAGACTTCATGACATTTTACCCCTAAATATTTCCACAAGCATATTTGAAAAATTGAAACATTTTCTTACTAATCCCAAGACCATTATCATAACTCAATAATTAGTAGTACATTTTCAACATCTAAAAACTACAAACTTCTCTGATAGTCGCAAATGTCCTTTTCTGCTGGTTTATGCAAATCAAGTAATGATGAATGCATTTGGTTATGAATCATAAATGTATTTTTATCCTATCACAGTTGCCCTATTACTACTATTTTTTTCATGACACTGACTTTTTGAAGAAACCAAAACTAGTTTTCCTACAGACATCATTTACATGTGTCTAATTGCTTCTTCCTGGTCTCACTATATTTATTCCTTTGATTGGATTGTCTACAAATTTAAGGTTATATCTAATGAC